GAACTGACGTAAACGAGCAAGAGCTGGACGCTGAGAGCGCTAGAGCGCAAGCGCAGGGCAAGGGAGGCGGCGGACTCAGAGCAGGGCGCCTGCGTACAGCAGGCAAGTTTGGGCCGATGTGGGTTAGGGATGTGCCTCGCGGAGGCGCCGGACGGAAAGAAGAGATGGGAGTGCGCAGGCGCGGTAGGACTGACTGACGCCCGCTTTCCCTAGAGGCTAGCCGCGGTGCGATTTCCCAGCAGCCCATAGTCCTTATTTACATACGCTTTGATCTCGTTTAAGTTGGCTCTCGCTGTTCTACCCGGTTCCGAGTCTCTTAAAGAGCCCTGGAGCGGAGGTGAGGAGGAGTTGTCATTTAGTATGTCCCTCATGGTTGAGCTCAGGCTCTGAAACCACACAAAACCAGCTTTGCATTTCCTTGCTAATGACTGGCCAGAGGCTCGACCGTTTTTTTGTGTGTGCCTCAGTATCATCTACTAAGTGGAAACAGTCATACTTGTATTACCGGGCTATTGGACTACTTTATGTAAACCGAATTATCAATTAGATAATTATCAATATTATATCAGTTAGACATTCTACGACCACAATAGTCTTATCTGCTCATTCTACATAAGCAATTACATATGGGCTATAACTTTTTTATAAGGTAACTTGGGCCCGGAAAGTCCTTAAAATGACCCCGCAAGAAAAGAGTTTTGCACACATCCTGGCCCATCTATTAGCTGCTGTACTAGACAGCTGTGAGACATCTGGCTCCCAGTCTGTTCCGTCAAATTGGTTGGGTGGGGCTTGTTAGCTTATGAGTTTGGGTTCCGGTATGCCACACAGCGTAGCAAGTATGCATTGGTTAATGCATACCTCTTGTAGAAGGCCTGGCTGGGGGGTTGAGGAATCCTAGGTCCACCTCGGTCTGTGAGAGTGTCTCCAGCAAGTCCTGCTCAGGGATGGGCCTTAGTTTCCCCATAGGTAAACCTAATGCTGGAACTAGCCCTTAGCTAATAGGTTTCCAGCTTGGAACTCACTGCTCTGTATTCCTATTCCTAATTCGTGGTCTTGCCCCATCACTGTGTTGTTAACTCTAACCAATGCCACTTGCACCTCAGTCCTGACCATTTTAGAGTCCTGTCTGGTAATGGGTCTGTCTCATTAACTGCACAGAGAGCCCCGGGAGGAAAAAGACCAGGACTGTCTCAGTCATCACTTTTGAGGGATGGGACATACCTAACACTGCCCAGCAAAGCCCTGGCACAGAGCAGGCCCTCGGGGAATATCTGTTTCAAGAATTAACCCCTCCACTCTAATCAAGACTCAAGGTTACTGTGGCCTTTCTTTCCTCCTCTGTGTTGAACAGCTCACAGCCCATTCCCCTACATCCAGGTCTTCACAACTGACTCAAATTCCTGCCCCTCCTAGGGCACAGGATGGATTATCTCACAAAATCTCCAGTGCCCTTGTGTATAAACTCCTTGGGACACTAGTAGTCAAAGGTAATGGTTTTCAAACTCTTTTAAGTACATGTGTGTACTTACAGTACAATGAAACAAGTGTCACAAAATACTGTTTACCTTTATGTGTGATGCACTCTGATATTTAATTTTTTTCAGTGTCGTTTGAGTCCCCGCTAAACTGATTTTCAGACCCGCTAATGGGGCACTCCTTGCAGTTTGAAAAACACTAGTCGGGGGGAGACGGCACTCACTGGCTTTGGAGATGGACAGGCCCTCATTCTAATCATGCCTTTCCTGTGTCCTCATCAAGATAACTTCACTTCTTGGAGCCTACTTTTCCTCATTGCAAAATATCAATAGAATTTACTTAGCAACTGTTATGGGCCTAGTTCTGTTCTTAACACTGTCCCACTGGTGCTATTCCGTTGCTGTCAACACGACCTTGGAGGTTAGTGCAGCAGTCCTGGTCCCAGGACAAGTTAGGGGTGGAGGTTGGATTTGAACCCTGGCCATCACATATAGGAGCCTGTACTTTGAACTCACATCATGCAGAAAAGTGGAAAGTATTGGCCTTACTCTGTTGCTTTGGCAAACCACTTATCATTCGGGGGTGCTCAGCCTATCAATTTCTACATCAAGGGTGATTGCAGAGAAAATTCCCTAAAACCCCAAATTATTCTCCACCCTCTAATCTGTGCTGTGAACTCCCTGCCCATAACTATAAGTATGGGCTGCCCATGCATTTTTCTGAGGGCTGGTAGCTTCTCATCTGATGTCTGCTCAAAGGCCTCTGGATTCAGAAAAAACTATTGAAGACTCCTGCCCTGAAGGATGGAGAGGGTGTCTCCTCGAAGCCCCCTTATGTCCCCAGGGAGCCGACATCAGCTCCTGGAGTCCATTTCAACCTTTCTCACAAATTGGGCTCCTGGTGGTGAACAGACAAGCTGTATGGACCAGCTCTTAGGATTTCCGAATGGGGAGGCTTCTACTCCATCCCACAAGGTCTGGGGGTCTATCTGTGGCAGTGGTGGAGGTGGCCATGAGGGCGGGAACTACCCCTGCCACGTGGGCAGTGAGGAGATGAAAGCAGGAGGAATCAGAATTCCTCCTTTCTTTATCCTAAGCAGAGCGTTTTCGGGGGAGAAAGTCCATAGCATTAATCTGATTCTCAAAAATATCTGGCACCGTTAAAAAAAAGTTTTTATTCAAAAGGGTTTCCCACGTTATACAGAAATGTTGAAATACTATCTTTGACTCCCCAGCCAGAAGTTACTGAGCCCCACCCTAGATGCTACTGTGTTGGGAAAATCCTTTTAGAGTCATTTTAAGTGTTTGGCAGAAGTACAGATAAGCCTCAGGGATTCTGTTGGTTCCAATTTTCTTTTTATGAAATATGTTTCTCTTTCAGAAATTGCAATAGAAAACACCATACATATTCAATTTTTTAACACATAGGAGATTCCCAAAACGTTTCGGTGGTTGTGCTAGGCTGGTCTCTGGGGCAGACCTTGGAATGAAGTTTTTTCTACCCTTGATAAGACTGAACACCTTATCGATCTGCTCTGAACACGTAGATGGCTTCCCATCCCATGTGGAATCAAAGCTAAAGGCCTCAGCAGGGCCCTAGGTAAGTTGCTCCTGCCTGTCTAACTTCATCTCAGGCTACTCTTGCCCTTAACCGCCATGTTCTAGACACACTAACCTCTTGTCTACCCCTCCAAAAGGACAAGCCTGTTCCCACCTCAGGGCCGCTGTTCCTTTTGCCTGGACAGTTCACCCTGATTTTGATTTTTGCATGACTGGCTCCATCTTGTCTTCCAGAACTCAGTTCAAACTCACCTCTTTCAAGAGACTTCGCCTGGCCACTCAAGACTCAGAAGAGCCAGGCTGTCACCATCCATCTCTTTAGCATATCTGAATTCCCTACTTAGCACTTAACACTAAAGAATACTTTTGTTGTTTATTTTGTAACTGTCTTTCCCAAAACTAGGATATAAATTTGTCCGTGAAGGCAAAGACCTTGTCTTGGGCACCCCTGTCTCCCCGGCTCCTAGAACGATACCTGGCACATAGGTGGGACTTGGGGATCAATAAATATTTGCTGACTGAATGTGGTTTTGATTAGGAAGGTTAAAGCTCTGTACTGGGGTGAATTTTACTTTAGGTCTGAACTTATCTACTCACAAAAAGTTGAACGAATAGTAATAAACTCTTAACCTTTATTGAAGAATTCCCACATTTCCGACACGGTGCTAGGAACTATACATGACCTTATCAAATGTCCCTGCAGGTTGAAGACTCTGAAAGGCCTATTTTGCAGAAGTAAACATGGGCCCAGAGAAAAGTCTCTTGCCAAATATCACACAGCCAGAATGTTGTGGAACCTGGATCCAGTCCCAAATATGTCTCAGGCCAGGTTCACACTTTTACCCACAGTACTGGACTTCGCTTGCATGAGTCCAGATTTCACATACAGCAAAGTCTTGTATAATGCTGTAAGTATGTGCATTTGAAACAGTGAAACGCTTAAAACATAGTTTCTCACATTAAGAAAAACTGAGATAAAAATAAATTAATCCTAAAAAAAAGAAAGAAAAACATAATATGAATATCACCTCATTTTTTTTAGGTCATCAAAAAGGCGGCATTTCACAGCTGCCCAGTGAGGTGATTTATAAAAGCTATTTGAGCTGTTGCCACAAGATGGCGCCACGTGCGCTGGTCATCCCTGCAGGAACCTGCTGACTGGCATGCATCAAGGTTCCCGCAGCAAGCTGGGGGGCCATTCTGCCGTTATTTAAACATTCGCTGTTTAAAAGGAAACTCTTAAAAGCAACACACGATCCAGAATTGGATGCAGAGCCAGGAGGGAAAATGGCAATAAGGAACATTATTGAGACTATTAATGAAATTGGAATAAGAACTGGGCTTGAGTATTGTAGCCATGTTAAATTTCGCAGTTTTGATAGCTGTACTGTGTTTATGAAAGAGAATGTTCTTGTTCTTATATGTGTTGAAGTATCGCAAGGTAAAGGGGCCTGATGTTCTCCAACTTAACTCAAATGGTTCAAAAACACAACATACGTATATGTACACATGTAAGTGTATGTATGCGTGTTTATAGAGAGGGGGACAGGACAGAAGGGAAAAGGACAAACGAGTAAACAATTGGCAGGTCCGGATAAAGTGTAGACAGGAAACCCTCGTACTATTCTTGCCACTTTTCTATAAGTTTGTAATTATATCAAAATAGTTACCCAAAAAGCTTTTTCTTTTTTGTAGCCAATGGGAATGTCATTAAAGGGTTCTTTATGAGGCAATGATAATGCTGGTGCTGAAGATCTTCCCTGAAAATCATCAGTTTCAGAGACAAATTAGATAACACATGCCCGGCACTGTTTTAAGTCCCTCACGTGAATTGACTCACTTGATCCTCACAGTCATTCTGTGAGGTAGGTGCTACTATTCTATCTGAATGAAGAGGAAACTGAAGCACAGAGAGGTTGAGTAGCTTGCCCGGGACCACAGAGCTGCAGAGCTCAAGCTCTTAATCATAACAGACCACCAGGAAGGCCAAAGGATCACCAGGATATGCTATGTTGGTCACTTAGGGACAAGCAAGGGGCAGAAAGGCAGCTTTAGGAAAAATATCAGAACAATGAATGTAGGTTTACATGCTCTGAAACCCTGCCTATGTAGAAGTCAGTCTTGAATTATGCGAAAGTTTAGCTGAACAAAACAGGGAAATTAAGTGGCCTCTGAACCTGCTAGATGTCAGTCAACACTGGAGGAAGAATTAGAATGTTCTTTAAACAACTCTGATTATCCTCAATATTTACTTGTAAATATACAAGTGGCATAAATTTAAATTTATAAAAAATAGCTACATTCTCTTTGCCCTAGGTATTTACCCCGTGGATATGTTCACACATGAGCAAAATGTGGTGCACACAAGAGGCACTGTTTGTAATAGACAAAGACCTGGAAACCACCTAAATGTCCACAATGAGGGACTAGTTCAATACACTGAGGTACATCCACATGAGGGAACACCGGCAGTTACTGTAAAAGGAAGCTCTATCCATCAAGCATATTAAAAGCTGTTATCATTAGCTATCAGGGAAATGCAAATCGAAACCAAAATAATAGGTATCATTTCACACCTGCTAGGATGGCAATAATCAAAAGGACAGATAATGTGTTGGCAAGGATATGGAGAAAGTGGAACCCTCGCACACTGCTCGTGGGAATGTAAAATGGTGCAGCCACCTTGGAGAACTGTAGTTTCTCAAATGGTTAAAAATAGAATGAACAGGACATGGTTAGCACATCTGCTTTACACACAAAAGGTCCTGGGTTCACGCCCCAGTGGAGCCACGGTCCATGGTCTATAGCCATGCCACCCTGAACAAGCCTGATCCCGTCTGATCGCAGAAGCTAAGCAGGTTTGGGCCTGGTTAGTACTTGGATGGGAGACCACCTAAGAAAACCAGGTGCTGTAGGCATGAATAATAAATAAATATAGACAGATAGATAGATAGTTATCTAGATAGATAGATAGAACGTATGACCTAACAACTCGACTCCTAGGTATATACCCAAGAGAACTGAAAATACATGTCCACACAAAAACTTACATGAAACTGTTCATGGAGGCATTGTTTATAATAGCCCCAAAGTGGAACCAAACCAAGTGTCCATCAACTAAGTAAACAGAATGTGCTATATCCATACAATGCTATATTATCAATAAAAATAAATGAAGTACAGACACATGCTACAACATGGATGAACCTGAAAGACATGCTAAGTGAGAGAAGCCAGTCACAAAAAGCCACATATTGTATGATTCTATTTATATGAAATGTCTGGAAGAGGCAAATCCATAGAGACAGAAAGCAGATTTGTGGTTGCCAGGGGCTTGGAATGGGGGGCAGAGTATGGGAGGGCCTGGGAATGATGACTAAGGGGTGTAGGGTTTCTTTTCAAGGTAATGAAAATGTTCTAAAATGTGGGGTGGATGCACAACTCTGTGAATAATTACAAGCCATTGAACTGTGCACTTTAAATGGAACAAATGTCTGATATGTGAATTATATCTCAATAAAATATATATTTTTTAAAAGCTCTTTATGTGGTTGATACCAAATGACATTCCTGTAGCAATGTGTATGCTCCCTTTACTCCAAATCTTCCCCAACATTGAGACTTTAAATTTTTTGCCAGTCTACTGGGCACAAAGCAGTCTTGTATATATACCTTTGAATTTTGTACTGTCTGTATGAATTAATCCAAAATAAACATTTAAGTATGCTAATAAATTATTGCTTTTCTATTTTCAACATGCTATTTTGGGGTTGCATATTAAGATTACATTTTTTAAAAAGGGGGTGTCACCCCAGTAGCAACGAGCACACCTCATGCCTAGATCTTGGTTCTGATACCATTCTACAATGAAAGGAACTGGGCTCCTTGGAGAAATGCTAGGCTCTAGGACCAGGGCAGGAAATACACAAGATAAGCCTGGAGGATCTGTAGTGTCAGAAAGTAAGGAAGTGCCAAACAAACAAACAAACAAACAAAAAACAAACAAGAAAACCCCACTACACAATAATGGAGCTATGTCAAAGGGACACAGGAGCCAACCGAAAGAGCACCCAATGGCCAAAGCTGAAATAACGTGAACAGCACAATAAAGTAACATTGGATGATAATCCAAATCATAAAATAAATATGCGTGAGTCTACACTGATTAAAAAAAAAAAAAGATTGAATTAATAAATAGGGAGAAGAGACCAATCTCCCTTGCGAAAGAATTCCAAACAGTTTATGTCAGTATTTTGTGAGCCCCCCATCCCTTACATGTAAGCTGCTCGGAGTGACTGCCTTTCAAAGGGACCAATATGGAAAGGGAGAAAGAAGAGGACTTTGCGGTAAGATGTGACAAATAGTAGGTAATCAAGCCAGATGATCAAGATCAACACAAACAGTGATCAATCAGGTTCACAGTATGCACCCTAGATGGGATGGATAAAATGGCACTTCCCTTGAGCTCTTCCTCTGAATGATATGCAACCCCAGTCTAATCACAAGAAAAACATCAGGCAAATCTCGATTGATGGCCATCCTATAATATACCTGGACCGGCATTCTTCAAAACTGTCAAGGTCATCCAAAACAAGTCTGAGAAACTGCCCCAACCAGGAGGAGCCTAAGACAACTCCTTATTTGTCAACATAAATGTTTGACAACATAAATGTAATATGGTACCTTGGAAGAGAAAAAGATATTAAAACTAAGGAAATCTGAATAACTATGGACTTCATACTAATGTATCCATATGGGTGAATTGTAACAAACATTTTCATACTAATTAAGATGTTAATAAAGGAAAGTGGATTATGGGGTAGATGGTAACTCCATACTAAGTGTACGTCTTGATTTTTTTGCACATCTAAAACTGTTCTAAAAAATAAAGTCTGTTCCTGTTTGTTGAAGTTTGCGAAGGCCTGGAGTTCACAAAGCAGGTCAAGTTCAGTGTTGGTAAACACCGGGCCTTCAGAGGCAGGTCTGTAGGAGCAGTGCTCACTAGACTAAATCAGCTGGGATCCCAAAGGAGGGAAAGGTGGGGTCGGGATCACTGGGGCCTGACTTTGACCTCTGGCCCATCTCAAGCACCAGGCTCAGGCACTGCAGGAAGGGGCAATGGGACTGGCTGGGACCTTGGCTGCTGCCACAGGCATTAGAAGCACCCATCTTGCTTTGCATCCACTGGTGGAGCTACCAAAAGAGGTGACATGTTCAGAGGTGACCTCATCCCAAGACCATGTCTAAACAGAATCATTTGCCTCAACTGGCTCAGATCTGGCTCTGGGTTTACCAAGAGCCATGGGCTCACTGCCCCGCCATCTCTATGTGTTTGTAGGATAAGCTAGGAAATCCCTGACTTTCGTAGTGATGCCCCGACCCTGAGAACTCGACAAGTCCATCGATGTAACAAAGCACTGATTTGTACTTCCTGGCCCAGAGGTGGTGGTCAATGTCAGTTCTTAGCATCCCGACTTGCTTCCTCCAGCGTGCTCCAAACACTGGAGTTCAACTGCTCTTAATTCCTTTGTGGAACGGAGTGATAAATGTGTAAGTAAACCATCTGAAGAATGCCAGTCTTGGGGGAGGGCCTAGTTCAGATTTGCTATTGACCCACTATCAGCATTTGCACCGAAGTGGTATCATTGGAACTCTTCAGATTCAGCCCTGAATTGGCCCCACAGGTGAACAAGGCTTTCCCACTGCAGCTCTGCTTGTAATCACAAGAGGCTAGAAGCAACTTGAACTCCCTTCCAAAAGGACTGGTTAAATAAATTAGGCTGGTGTGTGTGTGTGTGTGTGTGTGTGTGTGCGCGTGTGTGTGTGCGCGCGTGCGTGTGTGTGTGCGTGCGCGTGCGCGCACGTGTGTAATCCATCTCTGGAAGGATTACTCAAGAACTGGTAACAACAGTGGCCTCTGAGGAGGGGACTGGGGGCTAGGAGATGCAGGAGGAAACTTCACTGTAAAGACTTTTGTATCCTTTGCACTTTAAACTATGTACTATTTATGCTCAAAAGTGTTTAAGAGAACCAAAGAAAAAATAATGCACTCCTGCAGTCACAGCCGTTGGGGTTGGTTTGGGGCAATCACCAAATCACATGGGTGGGACACCGGGGCTCTAGAGCGACTGCGAGCAGAGGAGGCATCCAGCGCCAGGTCCCTCTGGCAAAGGGTGGCAGGATGGGGCGTGGCACTCAAGGCCAGAGGCATGCCAGAGCTGCAGATGCTTCAGAGGATGAATTGATGGGGCGAGAAGACAGAGATGACTAGAAAATCTCCTAGGACCCCACCCTCCACCTATGCAAAAGGACCGTTTCAAATCTGTGATTGAGACAGCACAGGGTAGTAGTTAAGGGGCCAGGATCTGGCTCAGCTCCCTGACGTCCACCCCAGTCCTGCCACTTGCCAACTGGGTGAGGTCTTTAGCAGTTTACTCCTCTCTGAGCCTCTAAAGAGCAAGTGACGACTTACCTCACGCAGGTAAGCCTTTCACGGGAGCTATACATGCGTTTATGTCATCGTAGATCCTACTACGCATCAAGAAATTACTTGTGCTCCTAAATTTAGTAACTGGAACACTTCCATTTAACCCTGGCATTTGCTAAAATTATCCATGAAGTGGGACAAGAAGAAATTATAGGAGGTAGGGGGCGGAGAAGAGCAGCAAGGAAAGTGTGTGTGCGTGAGCGCCTCCTCGTGGCTGGGACATGAAAGGGCGGTGTCCGGAATCAACATTGCAGTCATTTGCTGTCCTTCCCAGGCCGACCTGGACCAGTGCCCCGAGGACCCAGCCTGGGCCCTCACCAGGAGCGAGGTCGACAGCTGCTCTTTCTACCACTGTCCCTCATACTGAACTCCAGCCCTTCACACCCCAGGCCCAGTGCTTGGGACACTGCCTGACACAAAGAGGGCTCCCGATATGACATTATGAAAGAACTAAAAATAAATGACCAGTTTGGGAAGAAAGCAGCTCTGGAGATGGATGGTGGTGGTGGTTACACAACAATGTAAACGTACTTAATGCCACAAAACAGTACATTTAAAAATGGTTAAAATGGCAAATTTTATGTATCTTTTACAATTAAAAAATGGAGGTCTAATGTCATCTTCACTTCCTCTTAGTTCTCCTCCAAACCCCCGCTGCTCCTTGGGAATCTCCTTATCAGATCTGTTCTCTAATTAGTAAAAGGGCTCCAAAGTCCCTCCCGGTCCTCTCCTCTCTCTACGCCCCCTTCCAGCTGGTTTCGCCGGGCCCTCGGCCCTGAACACCGCAGTACCGGGCCCACCCCGAAGCTGCTGACGCCCAGCTCGGCAGTCCTGAGCCCAAGCAGCCCGCTCACCCCTCAGAGAATACAGGGAGAGCCGAGTGCCCTCCCGCCCCACCTGCTCCCCGCTCCCCGGCCCTCAGGCCCCATAACAGCACCTTCCTTAGATGCTCGTCTCCCTTGTAAGTGTGACCCATTCTTTCCATCCTCCCCTCACCCCAACTTCCAATCCATCAGGCCCCGTGCTGCCCCTACTCTGAACCCTGGGCCACCCACTTCCCTCTCCCCACCGCCCACCTTGCTGTCTCGTCCGGCCGCGGTGGCTGCCTCCCTGGCCCGCCCCTGCTCTCCCAGCAAGATCTTCCTTACGGGGCCACCGTCATCTTCACAAGTCATGTCTGACCATTACTCGCCTGCCTCAGACCCTCCCAAACTCCTCAGTGCTCTGGGGATGATGTCCATGCTCCTCACCCTGGGTCACAAGGCTCCTGGTCATCGGCTGCTGGGCCACCCCTATGCTGGAGGGAAGGTCCCTCCGTCACCAGCCAGCCAGACAGGCCTTCGCCTAGCCATTTCCTCTGCCTGAAAGCTCTTCCTGACCGTCATGTGCTGCTGCTTCTCCTTTCCAACTTGGCCTACCTGTCACCTCCTCTGAAAGGCCTTCTTACCCCCGACATCTAAAGAGGCCCTGGTCACTTCTGCTCATCCCTTGATTCTTTGGAAAGTGCGGTCACATTGCCATCTCCCCAGCTAGAGCCACGAGGGCAGGGGTTTGTCTGCCTTGCTCATGAAGGGGTTCCCAGCTCCCAGGACAGGCCTGGCACAGAGTAAGGGCTGTGCAGCAGCAAGCAGTGAAAACCAAATCCACAGGAACCCACCGCCTCCAAACAGCGTGCGATTTGGAGAGCTGCCAACAGGGAGAGTGACGGAAACAGGTGGAATCTGTGGAGGCGGAAGGCAGGGTGACGAACTGCGCGGTCTGTCGAGGGGAGGAGAAGGCCCAGCTAAACGGGGACCGTGACCAGCACTCCCTCGGACTTGGGGCCCAGGTGTGTGCAGAGTTTGACCCTCAGAGGCAGAGCCCATCCCTTCATTGCTGTCCCCCAACTCACACACTGTGCTTCGTGTGAAAAACAATCCTGCGACTCACCTTGAAGGAGGGGAGGAAAATAGTATGAAAGTCACCAAAATATATTAAAACAGCTGTTTCCTTCTCTCTCGGCACTGGTCTCCCTTCCCAGTGCCCCCTGCCCGCCACCCACCATGGCCTTTCAGAGAAAAAGACACCCAGGGCAGGAAGACGGAGGTGGCCCGGCTGCAGCCCAGGGCCTGATCTGGGACGGCGCCTCCAGCCCGGGAGTGAGGGCCGCTAACAGTCTCTACAAGCTCGACGCCACTGTCGACGAGGGGGCCGCTGGGTGGCCGGAGGTGCAGGAGGGTCAGGCAGGACACAGCGGACCGTCGGGCCTTGCCACAGGGACAGAAAACAGAAGAGAAATGAACAGAGTGAAGAGAGGGAAAATCAGAGCAGTTAAGGTGGGACGGGGGGCAGAGGAGTGAGGGGAGGAAGCTGGCAGGGTGAGGGGCCGAGGGAGCCCCTCCAGGTGACACCCGTTCCGGGGGACCAGGAAGACGAGGAGCTGGGCTTTGAGGCAGCAGACGCTGCTGAGAGGGAGGGGAGGGGACGTAGGAGAGGAAAAGGGCACTTGGCACTTGGAAGAGGTAGAAAAGTGGGCCCTGCCAAGGCCACGGTCAGAGAGGACAGAACAGAGGACATGAGAGAAGGGAAAGTCCCAGAGCGGCAAGGCCAGGCCACAGCGACCATCTTGACTCAGAAAAATGGGGTGAATCCCCAAAGCTCGGGCTGGGCCTGAACGCCTGAGGGAGACCAGCAGTGCCATCCAGCGGGGGAAGCCCTCACTGAAGCCTGATGGGGCCGGGAGCCTGGAGGGGCCTGCGCCCCGCCCGCGGGCTAGGTCCTGCGGCCCAGTCTTTTGAACACGCTCACAGTGCCCGCATGGTCCATCTGGGCACCAAGGCCCTCGCTGGAGCTGCTCCCCCGGGGCCCCAGAGTCCTCTTAATGGTGACCTTGACCTCGGCCGAAGACTTACTCTTGGTGCTCGTGACCTGGCTGTCCTGGGCCTCAGGCACAAGGGCAGCCTTGCCCAGTCTCTGGATGATGCTGACTTTGGACAGGGCCTCGATCCTCGGGCGGGCGGAAGGGCGGGTGGAAAGGGCCAGGCGCCGGAGTGTCGGGGTATCAGCTGTTGTCATTGCTGAGCTTGTGGCTTTGGCTTTGACAGTCAGGGCTGGCTGGGGACTGGCCTTGGCTGGGCCCTGGCCTAGCTTCTTCAGGACCCCAGCATACTGCAGGACAGAGCTGCTGCTGTCATTGTCGCTGTCCCAAGCCAGATCCTCATCCATCTCCGGGGTGGCCCCCAGGCGGCTGAAGACTCCCGTGGGCTGTGGAAGTCAGAGACCGGACAAGTGAATCATTTAGTCACTCAACACATATTCATGGAGCGCTGCCTCATGTGCCTGGCCTCTTGGAGCTCACAGCTGGAAGAACACCCATCGGTGACACCCCAGATAGTGGCCACGACAGGGGAAGTCTGAAGAGCTGGGGGGAGCACAGAGGAGGCCCCTGGCCTTGCACGTTCAGGAAAGGCTCGCTGGAGAAGGCACATCTGAAATGAGATCTGAGAGCTGGCCGGAAGTGGGTCTAATAAGGAGGGAGGTGCGCCACGCAGAGGGAAGACCACTGGCTAAGGTCTACAAGTGAACAGGAGCGAAAAGAAAAGACAAACACGTCATTCACTCAGCACATAATTTCTGAGTCCTGACTCTGTGCCTGGCCCTGTGCTGGGTGGTGCTGGGGACAGAGCTGTGACAGGCCTGGTCCTGCCCTCAGGGGGCTCACAGTCCAGTGGGGAAGACAGGCCTGGCATTGGAAATGACACAAGCAGTTCTCTACGAGACCAATGCATTCTAGGGGCGGGGGCGGGCAGTGCTGAAGAGCAGACACAGAGGATCCTCGTCTCCTCTTGGAGCTCAGGGACGTTTTCCAAGGCTCCAGCATCTCTGCCAGGCCCTCAAGTTTGAACCAGCAGAGAGCGAGCGGGCTGAGTCCCCAAGGCAAGAACAAGAATCACTGGAGCACTCGCTGTGTACCAAGCTCTTGACATGGCTGCATCTTCAAGCCACATGTCCTGAGTGTTGTTATGCTCATGATAAGATCCTAGGAAGTGGGAAGAGGCCAGAGTGGGTGAGCCCTGGCGGCGCGGGAAACACAGAGGCAGGAAACACAGCTGGGGAGCTCCACCAGTTAATGAAAGGTGACGTTTACCAGGTGCTCATCACGCACGACACACCCAGCACCATGCAGGTGCATCTCACCTAACCCTCACAGCCACCCTATGAGGTGGGTGCCATACAGATGAGGAAACCAAGGTACCAAGGGCTTACTCAAGTGACACGGCCAAGGCCAGGCAGCCAGGCGGCAGGCCCAGGCTGTATGCTTCTAACCACACACCACGTCTGGGGCCTGAGGGACTGTGAGCCACAGCAAGAAGAGTGGGCTTCAGCCTAAGCACAGTGGAAAGCCTCTGAAGGGCTTCTGGTGAGGGGCAGGTGGCCCATCCTGTGGGTGGCACGTACTGCTGCTATGGTGGAGGGGCTAGCGGGGGTCACGGTAGCTGCACAGGGACCAGTTAGGAGGCCACACGGTATGCAGACAGGAAGAGGTGACAGAGCAGGCAACACAGATGGTGCCAATGGAATAATGATCACCTAGAATGGGCGTGATGGGGTGTCCCTGAGATGCGCCCCAGGAGAGGAGTTACTTTGGGGGAAGATGCTGAGGACAGTTTGGGACATGGTGGTGGGAGGGGTCCAAGGAGGCATCCAGGAGTCAGCCAGACCGCCGAGGCTGGACATGGGAGAGGCTAGCAGCAGACAGACAGGAAGCCACCAGGGCAAAGAACTGAGGCTGGAAAGGTAAGTGAGACGTGGGAAGCGTCCGGAACGACACCCGGGGAAGACAAGACTTTGAGAGCTCCCAGTGGCTTTCCCGTTTCCAACTCACTTTGTTCCCTGTCGTCGTGTCTGCCTTGGTCTCGGCGCCGAGGCGGTCGAACACGGATGTCCTGTGGAGACCTGGGAAGAGAGTGAGGCTGTCAGCCAGCACCTGCTGAGTGGCCCCTGTGGGCCCAGGCCTGGCTGAGCACTGTGCAGACGAGGGAGGGGACAATGTGGCCAGCCCAGACCTCAGGCAGCGCTGGTACAAGCAGGCACAGGCTGGGCCCAGTTCGGTTTTGTGTCTACACTGTTGGCTAACACTGACCTTCAACCACACGCTTCTGGCTAGTGTCAAATGTGGGAAGGACCAACTAAAACTGACACTTGTTCCTTGCACCTTCGTACAAGTTTATGAATTATGTGCGGGAAGAGTTCTTAATCCTTATTCACGCCTCCTACTCTTTTTTGGAGTCATGGTCTCTGAATCTGAGGAATGGCAGGTAATGAGTCCGCTCCCTAAGTAACAAACTAGCCATCAACAGAACGCTTACTATATTATGATATATAACTACTACGGAAATAGGAACCATTCATAAGAATGAAGTGCAGTCGTCCATTGACACCCAAGGGAGATCAGTTCCAGGATCCCCCGCAGATAAGAAAATCCAAAATGCTCAAGCCCCTCATATAAAACGGTGTAGTATTTGCACATAACTTGTATTTGCATGGCAGCTACAGGAGGGTTCAACTCACACCACTTCATTCATGTGGGTTCAGCATAGTGCTTGGCAGCATGGCAAATTCAAGTTTTTAGAACTTTCCGGCATTTTTCCCCCAAATGCTTTCAATCTGCGGGTGGTTGAATCCGTAGATGCAAAACCCGTGGATACGGAGAACCAAATATAGATGGACACGCACTAATGTGAAAAGGTATTAATAAAAAAGTTATAGAACAGGGGGTGGCTCCATAGTGTAGTAGTCAGTACGTCTGCTTTACACGCAGAAGGTCCAGGGTTTGCGCCCCAGGTGGAGCCACGGACCATACCCCCGGTACACCAGGCCCTGGGTGCGCGCCGTGAGCGTGTGGGAGGACCCACCCGTCTTCAGAGATCCAGTTCTTAAGGGGAAACAGCAACATCCATAGGTTAGGGGTGGAAGTGGGGGGTGAGGGAGGAATTAAAGAGGGGGAAATTATAAAAAACAGAACAAACAAAAAAACAAAGTGTAATTGACCCTGTTTTCCAGAAAGAAAAGCTGCTTAATCTTAGTTATGTATCTCCATGATACATGACTTTTACCAAAGGCACAGAAGCTCTAGAAGGGAGAATGTTATTGTCTTGGCTATAGAACCAAATATAGATGGACACGCACTAATGTGAAAAGGTATTAATAAAAAAGTTATAGAACAGGGGGTGGCTCCATAGTGTAGTAGTCAGTACGTCTGCTTTACACGCAGAAGGTCCAGGGTTTGCGCCCCAGGTGGAGCCACGGACCATACCCCCGGTACACCAGGCCCTGGGTGCGCGCCGTGAGCGTGTGGGAGGACCCACCCGTCTTCAGAGATCCAGTTCTTAAGGGGAAACAGCAACATCCATAGGTTAGGGGTGGAAGTGGGCAGGGGGGGAATTAAAGAGGAGAAAAAAAGTTATAGAAAATACCTACAGGATGATGCTATATGTTTTAAAAGACGCCCATATATATATATATAGACTTATATGTAGATACATTTAAGTCCATGGATGCTGGTTGGACAGGTTAACAACAGGCATGGAACACGGGAGGGAGGGGAGTCTGTTTTTATTGTATGTGCTTCTGCAACATCTAGATGTTTTTCCACGAAAACATGTACAATATTCTAATATTCTACAGAGCATCATCTCCATCCTACCACATACACACCCAGCTGTGGACTGAATTTCAACCAGACCCCTCTGGCTCATGATGATGGTTCCCACTTTTTGAGCATCTCTCCTCAGTCAGGCAAAGCCATCATCAAGTCCATGGCCCCGCCCTCCAGGGAAGGGTACCAGCTGAGGGACTGAGGAAGCCTGCAGCACTGACCGCAAGGCAAGAGGGCAGAGGTGGTGTCCTGTCAACCGCTTCTACAGCAATCATCGCTGGCCCCTTGGTCCCATTAGGGCCTGCTCCTTGGGCATCACCAGTGGCACATGACCAGCCCTGCACTACGCAGTCAAAGAGAAACGACAGTCTCTGCACTAAACCTCCGGGCCAGCTGGTACCTTTTGCAGCCTGCTGCTGCTCCAGGATCTTTCGCGTCCGGGGAGTGGTGCCTTTGGGCATGTTGATGATGTATTTCCCCTCCATCTCGGCAGTGACCCTGCGTCGCTTGGTGGGAACAGCCAGGCTCTCCTCCTCCCGGCGGGCCAGGACTGCTGGGGAGGGAGTGGAGGTGAGCGCCTTCCAGGATGGAATGTTCTCCAGGGCAGGGACTGGACGCCCTGTAGAGGGCACATGTGCCCTTTATCTCCACGCGTCCGCATGACTGGAATCCCTTATCTTCCCAACCACCCGTCATCCCTGACTCTGCATCACCGAGAAACTCAGGTCTGGGCCAGACTGGGCGCAGAAGGCGCTCAGAACCCCCAGGGGGCAGCTGGCCTCCCTGGAGCTCTGAGGCTCGGTCTCTGCCCCTTGCAGGCTCAGCTCCCAGTCCAGCCAGATTCCCATCAGATGAAGGTGGGACGCAGGTTCTAGAGCGCCATCTAGCAGTAGCTGCACAGGTGTGCTCACTTTTCCAATCAAAAACCGATCAAAATGCATACTTACAATTTGTGCAGAAGGCAACTGTAAGTTCATTTTTTAAAAAAGAATCCCCCCAAACGCGTCAAGGGATAAGAGTGTCAGTCCTTCCAGGCTCACCATCTTTTCAATACTTTAGAAATTAATTGTAACTTTTCTGTTCGCGGCACACAAATCAAAAAGCCAGACGGGGGTAAGGCACTCCCAAACACACGGCAAGGGAGCACGCGTGAAGTAGGTGGACAGGGTGCCATAGGGCCAGGGGTCAGATAATGAAGCCCCCTCACTGGGCCTCAGTATCCCCTTGTACCAAGATCATTGTTTCGGAAATGGATCCAACAAAGGCAGGAGAGACTGGACCGCCTATAGCCAACAATGCTGCAGTGTACGCTAAAACTTTAGGAGACTAATCTCCTGTTACATGTTCTTACCACAAAAAAAAACAAAATAAGAAAGCCTGAACCAGGCACAGAGTGAGCACCTTAGGGCGCCCGTGCTTAAATGCACCGGCTCAGTGCGTGATCGTCCTCTGGGCAGGGCACTACCCGTCCCATTCCAGACATGGAAAATGAGGCCCACGGAGGTGCTGTGACCAAGTCCAAAACTCTGGGCACCAAAAGCACTTGAGACACTGGGACCGTGACCCCCAAAACGTCTGCCAGCCCGCATTCACCCCTAGCCCAAGTCCCCTCACCCGCGGCCTTGGCACTCTTGGCTGCCATCTTGTTGGACACGGTGACAGAGATCTTGGAAGCGCTGGTGTCTGGCCGCCTCGGGGGAGTGCCCGGTGGGGAGTCGCGGTGCAGGCTGTTGGCGATCATTCGGGAAGCGGCTGCGGGGAGAGAGGAGAGTCCAGTGGCATGGGCCCTGGGAGATGGCCGGGCTCGGGACTGAATGGGGAAGAGGCAGCCAGAGTCACTCGAAGCTGTGCTGTCCCCGTGTGAGTATGCTTGGGAGTGGGCCCATCCCTCCCTGCCCTGGGGTCCTCTCCTGAGGCTCAAGACCAGGCTGGCTCCCACCAAACCTCACCCAGCAGTTACCCAGCCCTGTGCTGACCTCGTCCCTCCCCTCTCGGCTCCACTTCAGCCAAGCTGTTCTCTGGGTCTTCCCCACCCAGCAAGAATGTGTGCTGTCCCCTCGGCCTGGCATGCAGTTCCCCGAAGACCAACAGGCTCAGGTGTCCTCTCAGATGGCACCTCCTCAGAGACAGCTTTCCAGAGCACCCCGTCGCCCTCTACCCCCTTACCCTATGCTGCACTTTTCCTTCACAGCCCTTATTACTCCTTGACAGTAAATTACACTTATTTGTTTACTGGTGGACTCTCCCTCCAGCACGCAAGCTCCATGAGGAGACACTGCCTGTTTACTGCCGTATCCCCACACGTTTCTGGCACTTCACAAGTCCTCGACAGACATCTACTGAAAAGATGAACACTATCACCAAACATCCTAACGTCCCTACTGGACAGGCTTATGGCCGACCCACTTTATGGACACAGGAACTGGGACTCAGGGGGAAGGCCACTCGGTCAGGGCCCTGGGCAGTGTGGGTCTGGCTCCAGCTGGGCTGGGCTGGGCTAAACAAAGCAGTGGCCTCCCTCTGGGGACGGGGGGACAGTCTGGTGACCCCTGCAGAGTAGAGGGATGTCCTAGGGTGCAAGGCAGGAGGGAGTTGCAGCTCACCAACTAGAGGGCCAGCCCTAGCGTGGGAAGGAGATGTAATCGGGGTGCAGCCGCTGCTAGCCTCAGGGGGTGGGTTTCAAGAGCTCTTGGGGAAGCCCTGTGGGGTGGGGCAATCTCCACGCCGCTTCTGCTTGGTCAAGTCCCAGTAACACCCCCATCACCCATGGCGTTCTGATCTTGGCACTCTGTCCTCCCCAGCCTCCAAGAGTCCTCCCTTTTCCTGCTACGTGCGCTCCCAAAGCCTCCTGAAGTCCCCGTAATGACCCCACATGGCATTATAAACGCAAACTGCCTGGCTGGCTTTTTTAAATAACTACGGCACCAAGAAAAAGACCTCGAGCCTACACAGACCACTTAACTAAAGGCAAGCTCCCACATACCCAGAACCCAGAACCCAGGCCAGGAGCTGGAGCATTACAGGCACCCGGGTGGCCAGGAGGGACCCTTCCCAATCGGACCTCGCCCCTCCCCACTCCCAGGAAGAGAGGGTCAGGTTTCAGGCCTGCTCACTCCCCTCTTAATGATTTGGCATGTCCCCTTCCACAAGTTTCCCAGGATGTTTCCTCAGAGGGTCTTAAACCAAACGGGAGTTTCATGAGCGCTGGTTGTCTACACCCGGCTGTGCAGGACCTGGGCCAGGAGGGCTCCTGCTCACCGCCCGGCTAAGGGCACTGTCACTGGCATGTTCCGCTGAAAAAGGCCAGCAGGTGACAGGGCCCCGCCCTTCGCAGTGTACACAGAGGGAAAGGCCCCGCTTAAAGGGATCAGGGATACCATGTTTTATCATGACGGGTAAACAGCAAACACCGCTGGGTGGGGGGAAACACCTCTGTCCCTGCTCTGCTGAATTTGAGCAGCAGTGAGGCTGCCAGAGGACAAAGAACTGGTCTTCTCACCACCGACACAGACACCCACACAGACACCGACACCGACACGCACATCCGCTATCATGACAGCACCGGGCGGCCGCAGCAGCAACGCTGCTCTGGGGCGCTCCTCCCCAATTTCCCTCCTTTGTTTCCCCTTCTCGTCTTACTTGCCTATTTTCTCCGCTAGTGTTTTTGTTAGTTTTAATTTTTAAATTTTATTTTAAACTATTTAAGACATTCAGAATGGTACAAAAAGCAAATACTACCTGATACCATTTACACGGACTCGAAAGACCAGCAAGACTCATCCACGCGGTTAGGAATCAGGGTAGGGCGCACCCCGAGCGGGGGTAGTGGCTCTGGCCACGTTTCTGTTTCTGGATTTGGATGCTGCTGGCTGTATGGGTGACCCATTTGTGGAATGTCATCCAGCTGTACCTTTATGAACTGATCCTTTTCTGTATGTAAGCTGTGGAACCCAAATTTGCTCAGCCTCTGTGCCCTTGGCATTTGTCCTGCCCCCAAAGGCCCTGCCCACGTGACTCTGGGCTGAGCCAAGCGACTGGCTTTGGCTGATGGGACAAGAGCAAATATTACAGAAGTAGAGGCTTCAGACATAATTTGTGAAGCGGGGCCTATCCCCTGACGCTGCTTTTGGGAACCCTGCAGCCAGCGCTGTATGAACAAGCCTGGGCTAGCCTGCTGGAAACAGAGACAGATGGCTGAGTCACCCATCAGCCCGAGTGATATCAAACGAACCATCAGACACGTGAGTGAGGTCATCCTAGATCACTCAGCTGCGACGGAGCTGCCAGATGACCACCGAGACCAGCTGAGCTGGCCCAGAACAGAGCTGCCTAGCCAAGTTACAGAACCATGAGAAATAAAAGTTCATGTCTTAAATCAGTTTTGGGGTAGCTTGTTAAACAGCAAAGGCTAACTAATACACGTTAAATTTTTTAAGGTTTTTTTTTTTTAAAGGTATCATACTGCTGACATAAGTATAAAAATAGTCAGTTCTTACCATTTACAGATTCCAATTTGCAAATTCATCTATCCACTAAAATTTATTTGTAACCCCAAAATCGATATTTGTAGCACTTTTGTGGTCACTCACAGACACACCCAGAATGGCAAGAAACTTGAGTCACCCAACACGCACACGCCCAACTGAAGTCAAACAAGGCAGCGCTCTGCCTTCCTGTCTCAGCTCTCACACAGTAAACAAGTGTCCTCCTTGCGGTCTATTCAGTGCCACATCTTTCACATTTTCGTGCTTTTCGTTAGTGCCTTTGCTGTTTAAAATGGCCCCTAAGCCCGTGCTGCAGTGCAAGGACGTTGAGATACATGTGCCTTATAGAAAAAACACATGTGTTAGGTTAGCTTCATTCAGGAACGAGTCAGAGTGCTACTGGCCACAAGTTCAATGTCAATGAATCAACAATATGTATTAAATAAGGCGTCTTTCAAAGCTTCTGTATTGATCAGCTGACGAAACTGTGATCGGAGGCTTGCAGGAACCTAACCCCGGACTTCCCCTAGGAGCAGTGACTCAGTACTCACTAATTCACAGTGTTGAGAGTAACTTTCTAGAACAGGACTACCAGCAGCCCCTCACTACCCACTGCATGTTTCCTTAAGAGGAGAGGGCCTCGGATGGCTTTGCTGCCACCTCCACAGATTCCAGGTGTGTCCTCTTCCCTGCAGGAGTGTCGGAATGAAGGAAAGGAGGCCTGAGTAGATGGGACTCACCGCTAGAGGCGCCTCGGCGAACCTCGCCTGGAATGGGGCTGGGGCTGCAGGGCACTGACTCAGTGGCAGCTTTGCACATGTCCTGTAAAAAAACAGGTGCCTAGGTTACCGCGGGGACAGATGCACGAGGTGGGGAACCAGCGGACCCAAAAATCTGAGCAAAACTAAGGGTATCAGAGCTGCTAGAAAGATTTTAAAACATTTCACTCCGAACCATGAGAACGCATCAGACAAACCCAAACTGAGAGACATTTGACAAAACACCTGACCAGTACTCTTCAAAACTGTCAAGGTCATGTCTAACTGCTGTGTTGTACACCTGAAACCAACATAATATCATATGTCAACTATAATTTAAAAATAAATTTAAAAAACATATACCTCGACTAAATACAGCGAAATATTAAGACCTTAACAAAGCTGATTAGCTATAACTTGAAAAAAAACAGAACAAAACTGTCAAGGTCATCAAGAACCTGGGAAGACTATGAAACTGTCACAAATCAAGAGAGAATAAGGAGACATGATAGGTCAATGTGGTATGGCATCCTGGAACAGAAAAGATTAGTGGGAAAATGGATGAAATCCAAAATGTCTGCAGTTCAGTAACGACAGCAAACCAACACTCATTTCTTAGTTGTGACAAATGTGCCACGGCTACGTAAGATGTTAACATTAGGGGAAGCTGGGTGAAGGACACACAGAAATTTTCTGTACCATTGTTGAAGTTTTTCTAGGAATTGGAAATTGTTCCTAAATTTAAAAGTTTAAAGAAAAAGAAGTTTTGCAGTTTTACTCAGTGACAGTCTCCACGACAACTCAGATGGTGACCCTGGCTTGAGGAAGCCCTCACTGTGTGGTCTCGACCTGGATGATGGACACATGAAGGCCGTCTCTGAAATGGAGGGAAGCTACTAGCGATGACGAGAATTACACCAGCAGCCACTGTGTGGTCAAGCGGAGCACTGGAGAGCGCAGCTCTGGGGCAGGGTTCCTTTTTGGTCAGTGGAAGGAGGAGTAGACGAGTTCACATGGAGGGTGTAGACAGACAGGGCCTGGCAGGCCAAGGCAGGCACTTGGTACGTGTTAGTTACCATACGTCACTCCAGGCCTGGCACTCGATGCCACGTACACTATCAGGTAGATGGCCACAGCGACCTATGCAGCAGGCGTGTGTGAAAAGCCTGTTTCAGAGACTCAGGGAGGTGAAATCACAAGTCCAAGGTCACTGTAAGCCGGTGGCGGGGGCGGGGGGGGGGGGTTGGCAGTGATGGAACAACCATATTGTTGGCCAAGTCATCACCTGAATCTCACACAGAAGCTCCTGTCCTGGGGACAGAGAAGAATCCTGGTAATGATAATTATCATTAGTGAGAACCAATTTACAGCTAGAGAAATTAAGTAAAATAAAGCAATGGCTCAAAAAAAAGATGAGAACTAGTAATAATAATTACAGAGAGCCTTTATTGAAGCCCTACTGTTTACACTGTACTAGGGCTTTATATAACTTAATACCACCATCCTATAAAATAGGTTTGCCTATGTACATTCTACAGATGGAGAAAACAAGGCTCAGAGAGGTTAGGCAATGTGCCCAACATCACACAGCAAATGGTGCAACCAGCCTCAGAACTCAGGTTTGCTTCCAAGCTTCCTGTTGGCTCTGCCACTGCCCCCTACCTGACCCTAAACCCAGAGACAGAGGGGCGGAGCAAAGCACCCACCTGACGGTGCACCACCTTGGCATGTTTGAGGATGGCAATGATGTCGCCCACCACAGTCACGCCCAGCTCATTCATGATTTCCTTGTTGAGATCCAGCAGCATGCTCTTCTGGATCCTGCAAGGGAGGGTCAGTGCTGAGGCCGCAGGTGGGCCAGGCTGGGTGGGCCAGCCGGATCCCTGTTCCCCTGCCTCACCTCGGCCCTCCCCAGGTTCGGCTCTGTCCCCCCAGTGCTCTTACCTGTTATCCACAAACATCACTGCGTAATTGACAGCAGGCCCCGGAGGAATGCCAGCTTCCTTAAAGAACTGGATCCACTCAGAAGTGGCTGGGGGGTGGACAGGGCTCATTATTCACATTACTCTCTTTAGAGAACAGCCACAAAAACCACAGCCGCAAGCAGCAGCTCCCACAAATTAAATGCTTGTCAAATGCCAGGCCCTGGGCTGAGTGCTTCGCATGTACTGTGGAACTAAGCCCACCTCACAACCCATCGGGTTAAGCAGCACTGACTCCTCACTTTGCCAATGAGGAAACTGAGGCAGGGAGAGGCTGGGTGGCTCAGTCCCGGCCACACCGCTAACAAGCAGCAGACGTCCCCAGCCCATGAGCTCCCACACTGCCCTTCTCCTTACGGCTCTGCCCTGCCCCGGAACATGACCCGCAGTGATCACCCCCCATGCTAGGCCGATGACTGATTTGGGAGAGCCTGGACTCTGGGTTCTCTGCCCCAGTCCCCACCAGCGGGCCCAGCCCCAGAGGGTGACAGGACCCGCAGGTGGATGGAAAGAAGGATCACAGAGCTGGCCGTGGGTGTCAGCAAGCCCCTGCCTCGTCACAGGAGTGGTCCTGCCTCAGAGTAGGGCACGGAGTTGCAAGCCTAGGCATCCAACCTTGGCTCTGCCATCTCCTGGCTGAGGGGCTTTGGGCAAGTTGTTGGCCGGGGCTTCAGTTTCCTCATTTGTAAATCTGGGGTACGTACTAAGCACCTGGCACAGGCCAGGTCCTGTCCTAGGGCACTGGGGATACCACATGGCACAAGACAAAGTCCCTTCCCTCATGAAGCTGACATTCTGAGATAACAGCACCAGCGTCCCCGGGGCCCTGTGCAGACTCAATGAGAAAGTCCAAGTACAGGGCTTAAAATGATGCCTGGCCCAGAGGACGTCCTCAACCACTGTATCATCATTATTGCTACTGCTACTATCCTGCCACCACCAGGCATGGAATACAGACCGGCAGACCCCGCCCATGTTGCTTTCTTGTTTCTAAACTTCTTTCTTATTCTCTTGGTGTGACCTTCAAACTGACCCTAACCTGTCAGGCCAGGTGTGAGATAAGAGCACTGATTTCAAGTAGGACTTTTTTTTCATATTTTAGTATCTCTGAAACTAGGATCTACCTGACAAATGATGGTGTGCCAAGTTCAATTGGCAACACATTTCTTTCTTTTTCATGGCACTTAACACTACACTGACAATCCATGCTACCTGATAACAGAAAAAATCTGGTACTACTATGCCAATTTTGCTTGCTCACAGACAACTGAGGCTCAGAGCAGAGAAAGAGACATACTCCTAGCTAGACGTGGCATAGGTGGCAGTGCAGGGCTTGGGCACAGGCCGAGGGGCCATGTCTCTTCCAAAGAGACCCTTGCCCACCTCGCCACAGGCCCAACTCCCCAGATTGAGGCAGGTAAGCTCACGCCCTCAGGACTTCTACCCCAGCCCTGAGGAAAGCAGTACCTTCTTCTGCTTTGCACAGGCACTTGCCACTTGCTAAGCCACGGTGCCCTGGCTGCCATCAACCAAAAGTGGGCACCTTTGTCTAAGTATCAAAAAGCACCACATAATGATTCCCTTTATATAAAATGTCCAGAATGGGTAAATTTATAAAGATGTATAGACACAGAAGGTAGATTAGTGGTTGCCAGGGACCGGAGAGGAGGGGTGACTGTTAATGGGTATGGGGTTTTGGGAGGAAGATGAAAATGTTTTGAAATTGTGGTGATGATTGCATAATTCTCTGAATATAAAAACCACTGAATTACAGACTTTTAACAGGTGATTGTGTGAAATGTACCTCAATTAAGCTGTTCAGGAAAAAAGAGTACCACACAGGTTGGGAGCAGCTAGCTGCCTAAAACCAAGTCAAGGAACGGCAGAAGTCCCCACATCTGGGTGACACCATCATTTCATGCACAGCAAGTCCTCAAATAATGTTGTTTCATTCAGTGTCATTTTGTTACATTTTGACAAGATGCCGTATGAACTTAACTCTCGTTTATGTCAATTAGCCTGTGGTAAAACTGGTTTTATTATACACCATTCTGCTTAAAATCACAGAACCCGCTGATGACATTAAGTGAGGGCTTACAGTACTACTAAGAAGGAAAAGGTGCTGCCTATCAAACGATCATAAGCCACCAGCTGTAAGACTACCCCCATTTCAGAAATAAGATGGGCAACAATGTGAGTCTTGGCTTGCTACACACACCGGGAGACAAGCGCTAGACTGTTCACAGCAGCTTGTCTGCAGCAGCCCCAACCCAGAAACGCTGCAATGGCCACTGACAGTAGCATCAATAAACTAACAGTAGTCACTCGGGTGGTGAAATACTATACAGCAATGAAAAAGAAAGAACTACAGCTACACAGAGCCATGTAAGTGACTCTCAGACATCACGTTCAGCCAAAGGAGCCAGACACGGAAGCACGCACGGCCTAATTTCATTATATTAGTTCAAAACCAAAGTCTTTGGAATACAGATTATTTTCATTGGTGGTACAACTACGGAAAAACGTAAGGAAGGAGTACCACAAAGATAAGATAGTGGTTTATTCCATCTGGATGAAGGAAAGGGTTGTGATTGGGGTGAGGCCCTCAGGGGGCTGGCAATATTCTATTCTTGACCTAAAGGGGGATAGCTTTTTAAAAATCTTTTCATTGAATTATAAAGTACATGCCTAAGAGGACAAACAAGTGGACAGATTTTTCATAAACCAGCGAACCCATGTAACCAGCACCCAGATCAAGAAACAAAACATTTCCAAATACGGGAAGCGCCCCACCCATTCTCCCTGCATAGTCGCTTCTCCCTGCCTCGCAGGGCAACCACCACCTTCTCACAGCATCAGTTGGTTTTGCCTGTTTCTGTGCTTTATATAAATGGAATCATAAAGGACACACTCAGATGTTTGCTTTTTAGTTGGTCTTATAACCAAACATTTTTTAAATAATTCTTAAAAATTTTTAAAGCTACCAGTTAATCTCTGTGCTTTGACAATCCCAAAATAGAGCTTAAAGAGAACATGATGATAAGGCTCTTGAGAATAATAACGATAGCTAACATTTGTAGAGAACTATGCCCAAGATTTTACTTGTGATAATCTCTTTAATCCCCTTACAACATCCCAAGATGTAGGGAGAATCAGTATCTCCATTTTACAGGTGAGAAAACTGAGGCTCTGACAGGCCACGTGGAAAATCTGCTGGACTTCATAGCCCAAGTTCTTTTTTACATCTAGGCTAGTAACAGAAGGCCAAGATGCAGGGAGGAGGCGGGTAGGCCTTGGACAGGCCCCGGCCCCGCCACCACGTTCCTCAGACTACAGCTGTTCCTGCCTGTGACCCGGCCCTCCCTCCCCCATCCCGTCTCCCCACACCAAGGTCATACCTCAAAAAGGGCAGTGGGGAGAGGGGGCCCTGGAGAGAAGGCCACAGACTCACCCATAGTCACTGAGACCATTGTCGCCCTGGCCCCAATGCTGCTCCCTGGAGCCTGGAAAAGAGAACGAGGGGAGAGGGCCCATAAGTTGCCACCGGCTGAGTGTCCGTCCTTCTCTCGCTGCCTGTCCGCCAGAGGAGAGTTCCTGGACTGGGGGCTCAGAGCCCAGGAATAGCCTGGAGCAGCTGGCAGGAAGTCAGCCTGGGCCAGAGCTGCCACCACAACTATCACTTCTGCCTGAGACAAGACCTAGGGATAGCAAATGTCTACAGCTCCATTCCCACACCTCGAAAATCTCTAGCTTGAATAAGAGAGACAGAAAAAAGATACCCCCTGCCCAAGACTTTAGCCATAAATATCCATTCATTCATTCATTCGAAAACCATTTACTAAGCACCTACTATGTGGGAGGCACTGTTCTAGGAACCAGGGACACTGATATGAACAAAAACATGGAGCTTGGCACCTAGATGAGGATGGGGGAAAGGGGAAGACACAGTGAACAGATAGAATGGTTGACGATGTAGTATAGAAAGCCTTGCGTGTCATGGAGAAAACGTGGAGGGCTGGGAAGGCAAGAGCTGTAATTCTAAATGGAATAACCAGGGGAGACTTCTCTGAAGTGACATTAGAGACCCAAAGGAGGTAGACAGGAATGAGCCAGAGGATGTGTCCCAGGAGCAGACATGGCAAGTCCAGTGCCCTGAGCCGGGACTCCATCTGGCATGTCTGAGGGACAGCAAGGAGCCAGCGTGGCTGCAGTGGAGTGAGCAAGGAGAAGAATGTGGGGAGACGAGGGCAGGGAGGTGGGGCTCCAGGTCAGGAGGGGCCTCGGAGAAGAAATGAAAAAACGTTTTCACTTAGGTAACATTAGCAAGTGCTAGAAAGTTGTTCAAGACACATCAGCAGCAATGTCTCCTGGACAGTATTGGCAGGAGACATTCCTAAAAGGAAACTAAAGGAAGGAACTTTCTCTCCTGATAATTCAATGCTGACTCTGGGACCACCTGTCCCAAACTTCCCACTTAGCCCTCCTCCTCATCTCTGACCCAGCTGTCTCTTCCATCTCCTCTGCCCTCGTCCTTCACTCTGCTCCCCGCCGCCCACCCCAAACCCCAGTTTTGATCCTTCACCATCACCCCTCCTCTGCCTCCCTGACAGGGGCAGAAGGCCATCTGTCCCGTACACACAATCTGCTCCTCCTTAACCCCATTTTGATGGTATAACAGAGACAGTATAGGAGAAAGGACTCTGGAACCAGACTGCAGGGTTCAAATCTGGTTCTACCAACTTACTAGCTGTGTGGTCTTGGCAGGTTACTGCGCCAGACAGGTCTCGGTGTCCCCATCTGCAAATTGGAACGATATAAACCTTACCTTAGAGAACTGCTGTGAGGGCTACGTGGGTTTCTACATATGAAGCAGCTGAGATAGTGCCTGGTGCATAGCAACGACCCTGCGAGTCTAGGTTATCCTTAACTCTCAGGCCTCCCAGCCCAGCCTTCCCTTTAACACCCAAGGCCTTTGCCTGCCTCCCAGTTTTCACAAGGAATGTCACCTGTGCCTGGAAGGCTTATCTCCTCCTGTCCTGGCAAGCCTTTCACTCTGTTTAGCTGCCATCTGCTTTGGGAAGCTTTCCCCAAGTCCCCACATGTGAGACTCTCTCCTCTGCCGCCAGCCAGGACTTATCCTGCCCTTCACTAGCTTCCGCTGCATCTCTTATGGATGAACATGACCACAGGCATCTCTCCTCCCTGTACCTGACTCCCTAAAACCCACTTCCCCTCTTGGGTTTTACTGCTGGACAAGGTCAACTGACATCTCCCAAAGAGCGGGGCACGGAGGGGCTTCAAGATGTCAGAACATTGCACATACCAGGCCCTCACCAGGACCAGAGCCAGGCGTCCTGCTGATGCCTCACAACCCCCTCATGAGTGAGGACTATTATTAGCCTCATCTTAATCGATGAGAAAAAAAAAAAAAAAAAAAACTAATTGAGGTGTAGTCATTTGCCAAATGCCACATCTAGCAAGTGGCTTTACCGGGATTCAAAGACAAGTTCTCCCTGATTCCAGGGCCCAGGCAGGAGCTCCCATTCAATGTCCACATGACAGGCACTGAGTACATACACGCTTCAGTGACCCCTCACAACCGTGGGGGAAGAAAGTAAAAATGATCCCCAATCTCACAGATGAGTGGAAGGTCCAGGGTCACACAGCAAGTAACCGCTGGGCTAGAACTTGAACTGAAGTCAGTGCATCAGCTATGATTAATGCTGGTTGAGGGATTACTACAGGCTAGGCACTGTAGTCTGTCTTTGCAAGGTTCCACCTAATGCTTACCAGAAGCCTTTAAATACTGGTATCCTCCCACAGCTTCAGAATTTCCTGCTGGATTCAGTTTCCTCTCTCCACCATTAAAAGCCCATCTCCAACACTGACTCTCTGAACAGTGAAAATTATTAATATGGAAAAATGACCACTTCCAAAACTCGAGTAATTATAATGTACTAGATGCCCTGTGCTAAGCCCTTAGAAGGCTTGGATCCAAATCCCAATTCTACCACTTCCTAATCCTCACTCTGGGGCAAGTGGCTTAATCTTTCTGGATTTCACTTCCCTCAATTATAAAGTAAGAATGACAGGAATATCTATTGTTCAAGTGGCTAGAGGGATTAAATGAGTTCTTAAATGCCAAGCCGTTAGAACAATGCTCAGTAGGTGATGAGTACTATGTACGTGTGCATTAAATAAAATAGAAAAATCTTCAGTGAGCTAGGGGAAGGGTAGGACAGTCACTGACCTATATAAGCTATATGCAAAGCGTGAGCTGAGAACAGAGTATAAAATAACCTGAAAGGGTCCATGGGACCTGAAAACATGGAATCACACAGCATAAGTTATTCCCTTTTTTATCTCCATTTCTGTCTACAATTTAATAGACTGTTCTGATTCCATTGGATTTCGGGTTTAAGTGCTCCTTTTCATGGCCAGCCAGGCCAGTTTTCATTAAGATAGCAAATACAATTTTTCCTTCTCAAATTAAGTGGAGGAAAATGCATCAGCGGTTTTAAAGAAAATGAAAAATCTAATACTATGAGATTTGGGAAAATTGGCCAAATAGTAAGTGTCTGGATATTGATTTCCCCGATTGTCCTATTGCTGTCTTTGAGCTTCCTCCATCTCTCTATTTCAAGTCTCAGCTACACCAATGACTCTCAGAGTCATCATTATGACAGTCCCAATCTATCAAGCTCCTACTCAATACCGTGCCAGGCCCTGTGCTAAGGGCTTTACACCCACCTTTCATTAGCATCCTCACAATGACCCTATGATACTTGGACTACCAGTCCTCATTGTATAGATGAAGAAAGTGAGGTTCGGAGGGATGGAGGCACAGGCCCACTGCCACAAAGTGGAACTGAGACTTGAACTGAAATCTGTCAGCCTCCAAGTCCAACAATCAGTCACGCTCCCATACCCGCATCTTCCATGCTAAGCGCAAATATTACCATCAATACTAACAACAGTACAATAAGAGTGAGCACTGTGCCAGGCACTGAGCGAGGGACTCCAACATGCAGGAGCTGACTTCTCACTCCAATCCATAAGGAGGGAGCTATAGTCGGATTCTGACCCCCATTCTACAGAGGAGGAAACTGAGGTTCAGAGAAAGAAGTCGCTTGTCCGAGGCCGCACAGCTGCGCCGTGACTGATTCCAGAGCCCCGGAGGCCATCCATTGCCACCGTTTCCGGCCCAGTCCCACCTCCCCTACTCGTGCCTCACCTGGACCTCCAGGCCCGCGCCCACTCGCGCCACCCGCCCTCCCTCCCGGCGGCGCCAACAGTCAGACACTCCTCCTCGGCCCGGCGGCCCGCCCCGGAAGCGTCGCCCTCACCGCCGGAAGCCGGACTGACCCGCGCACCCTCCCCCACCCCGGCCTCTCTAGCCCACTGGGCCGCCACCAACGAGAGCGAGGCCGCAACTGTCACGTGACCTCTCCCGGTCTCCCAGGTGCTTCCCTCCGCCCGGCGCTAGCGAGGAGCGCGGCCAATCAGAAAGGCGCGGGCCCGGCCTCCGCCAGCCGCAGTCCAGCTCGAGTGCGCCTGCGCGCGGCGGGGGCGGTCGGGCCAGGCTCCAGTCCTGAAGGTGCGTGCGGGGCTGGGTCCGGGAGTGGGAGACGTGAAGTGCAGGTACTGTGCGATCCGGGGGTGCGGCGCCTCGGCTGCCCTCCTCGTGTTGTCACCTCGTGTCTATAATGCATCTCTACCCTTACGTCGTCCTCGGTCCCTTTATATCGCCATTCCTCCATATGTCGCATCCTGCTTAAATAGTCACCCTTCCCCTTCTGTCGCTATCATCCTCCCACTGTCGCCATCAACCCCCTTAACTCGCTTTCGTCCCCTCTAAGCCCCCATTTCCACCACAGGTCGCAATTGCCACTTTTAAGTCTCCATCGCCTTTTTATGTTTCCTGCACCCATCTTTTTGTTATTTCTCCGTTATGGAATCCTTACTTCTCATAAACCGTCATTATGCATGCGTGTCACCTGCGCACGCCACCTGTCACCCTCTCTTTAATTGTGTGCATGATCCCTTTATGTTATTCTCACCCCCGCGTCACCATCCCTGCCATGTCACCTTTGCTCCTCTGGCAGTCACCATCCATCCCTCCTACTTTTAGTTTTCCCCAAAAGGAGCCACCCTGCCATACAGTTTTTTTTTCCTTCATGTCTTCGTCATTTGCCAGTGTCACCGTTAACATACTCGCCACCATGTGGGGTACTAGAGCCCGTCACCAGGGGTGTGTCAGAATCCCAGCTCCACCACTAAACCTCTGGATAACCTTGACCACCGAATCACACCTTTGTAATCTCAACATCCTCATCTATGAAATGCACACAGGAACCTACATGGATGATTGCGAGGATTCTGCCAGTTTATTCGTGTGCTATGCCCAGCTTGACGTGGCAGTTTGGGCTGATATTGTTGTTAACCATGTCATTCTCACCCTCATCCAATCACCTTCATCACCTCATGGTCGCTCCCTCTCTCCCCAGCTGCCGTCATCATTGCCATGGTGTCAGTCACACTCCCTGTATCACCATACCCTCTGCCATGACAGCCACCCCACGCCACCCTACGTCACGATCTCCATATTGTCCTCATTCTGCCACGTCACCACACCTGAGGAGGTGGCCCATCACCCATCACGAACATTCTTCATCAACATTGGGGGTGACGGGGATTATAGGTAGCTTAGACCCAGACCTCCCTTGACTTTTAGAACTGGGGGTACAGAGAGGTGAGGCAGTCATACATCAGCAACCCCGACTCCCCAGGTGGAGAGGTAAGTGTTATTCACTCAGCTTGCTTGAGCAAAGCAGTGTAGGACAGTGGTTAGCAATGTGTGCCTGGGGGCTGGAACACCCTGGTTCCAGTCTCGGTTCTAGCGCTTAGTACTTAAATAGTTGCATGACTTTGGGCAGGTGGCTTAATGTCCCTGTGCCTCGGTTTCTGTACCTGCAACATGGGAATGAAAATGCAAGTTATTCATTCAACGTGTTCTACATGCCCAACCCCGTGCTAGGCACTGGGGACACCTCTATCCTAACAGAGCTCCCTGACCTCACGGAGTTTACCGGGGAAAGAGAGAATTAGCAAACAGGTAAGAATATTACAGGACGCGTTAGAAGAGGGAATGGGGTCTGCACGACAAGATCGTAATTTTAAATAAGGTAGTCAGAAAAGGTTTTCTGAGGTGATGACATTTGAACAAAGACCCAGAGGAGGGGAGAGTGGTGTGGCTGTCTCAGGGAGGAGCATCCTGGGCAGAGAGAACAGCAAATGCAAAGGTCCTGAGAGAGGAACATGGAATGTTTAGGAATATTTAAAGGGTGGCAAGGAAACCACTGAGGGAGGAGAGGGCTGGGCGATGAGGTCCGAGGAGTGATGGGGGCTGATCAGCTGGGGGTTCATGGGCGTGGAGAAGATTTTGGCCTCACTCTGAGGTGGGAGCCACTAGAGGATTTGGAGGAGAGGAGGGATGCAATCTGATGTGACGTGATATGACATGAAGCAGCGGCAGCAGTTCTAGAACTTCCAAGGATGGATCGGCAAGAGCAACCCATTGGAAGGAGAGCCAGAGTCCTCTTCTTAAAGCTGAATTTACATATCCTTTCTGTTTGGAGAAAGCCTCAACTGCCCCTCTCACAGATTGGAGGGGGAGGGGACGTTAGTAGTTTTGAAGAGGCCAAAGCCACCTCTGGGTGCAACTGCTGTTTGGGGAGGGAGAAATGGAGGGCAGCTACAGACCTACAGACGATAAACAGCAGGAGAGGCAGCTGTCCACCCCTGGGACCCTGAGGCAGCCTGGGTTCAAATCCTGGCTCCGCTGTTTCCTGGCTGCATCCCTTTGAGCCAATCACTTAACCTCTCTGGATCTTTAGTTCCCTTATCTGTTCAGTGGCGCTAAAATAACAACTGTTGTGAGAATTAAATATATAAATATTTATATAAATAAATATATCGAGCAGTGCCTGGTTCAGTAAACATAAGGAGCCCTACCTTTTACAGGCTCAGGCCTCCCTCGGGGGGCAGCAAGGAAAAATCATTCTGCCTTATTTTGTGTCCGTGAGTTGGCTGGACAGTGTAGTGTCCAGGAACAGAATTGAGCTCTGGGTTCAAATTCCTGCAGACAAACCGACGCTGTGCAACCTGGGCAGTGATTTCTCTGAGCCCTGCCCCACACCTGAAAAACAGGGATAATAATGCCTTTTTATCCCAAATGTGTTGTGTTGTCATTTTTGAACTCAGACATCCACCATTTTCAATTGCGATGCCACTATACACCCTTCCCTGCTTGCTTTTTCTCTCCCAGGCGCATACTGTGTGTTTCACTCATTTATCTATTGTCTCACTCCCCGCAAAGTATGTCATCTTTACTAGAGATTTTTTCTTTCTGTTCTGTGCTGTAGCTCCAGTTTCTAAACAGGGCTTGTCAGCAAGTAGTCACTGAATAAATACAAGTTGAATGGATAAGTGAATGAACTGGCTCTGAGCACCTGCCATGTGCTGTCCCTGTGCCAGGTGGTCCTGGGGACACAGCAGTGACAGACAGCCCTGCCCTCCTGAGTTTCACAGTCTGGTGGGAGACACAGACGCATCACCAGGCAGCGATGTCCCAGAGTTGTCAGGGCTGGGATGGAGAGGCTCAGGGGACCGTCATAGCCCAGAGTGGGTGCCTGAACAGCTGCAGGGTTTGTGGAGAACTTCCTGGAGTAGGTGTTACACAAGCTGATAGGAATGAGCAACATGAAGAGAGAAAGGTGTGTTAGGAGGAAAAACTGTGGGAGGATTGGTGGTAAAAGTGGTTTCAGTTCAAGGAACCAAAAGATATTAAATATGGCTGGGACATAAAGGATGCCGAGAGAGTAAGTTATTAGATCGTTCAGGGCTCTGGGAGCCACAGTGAGGAGCTGAGGCTTTGTCCTGAGGGCACTGGGCAGTTTTTGAGCAGGGTGGAGGACAAATCAAACTCAGATGGAGGGATTTGGAAGGGTTGGGTGAAGGCTGAGAGCCAGGGGAGGTGACTGGAGGCTCCAGGTCCAGGCCATGGGAGAGAAAAGGGGTGCATGGGAGAGACCTTCAGGAGGCCAAGTGGACATGTGGGGGCCCCAGACAAGGCCCAGGGCTCCTGGGGAGTCAGGGCTTCCTGGAGGAGGTGGCACATAGGCTGAGGTGAAGAATGGGTTAAAACAGCTGCCCTCAAAATGGGACTTGGGGAGGAGCAGGTTTGGGAGAGGTGTTAAGAAAATTGGAGACATGCTGGGTGTGAGGGGCTTAGGGACACCTCGGGGGAGGTATCTAGAAGGCTGTGGGACTCTTCAGAATGAGTTCAGGGAAGACATAAGATTTGGAAACGGCTTTGGTGTCAAAAAGGGAATTGAATCTGCAGTGGCGGGAAGGCCCACAGGTTCGGACAGGGTCAGCAGTTTGCACTTTGTCCCAAAGGCAGTGGGGAGCCATGTAGGCAGTTCGGGTGGGGACAGGACTGCTTAGATTTTTGAGTTCCAAATCAGAAGTATTCGTCATTCATGCTGAAGTTTTTGCTGCTGTTGTTGTTTACCTATTTATTTAATCATTTTTCAGACCCAGCCATCTTCTCCCCCTAGAAGGGGCACCTTCTAGGGAGGGGTCCTTTGAAATAAAAGTTCTACTGCTCAAAACAAAAACAGACAAACAGAAGTTTACAAAACCAGTGCTCTGTTCTGTTTTCCGTAGACCTGACCACAGACGATTGTCTGCACAATCCAGGTAAAATTGGTCCCTTTAAACATGAGAACATTTCGGTTTTGAACCATATGGAAGGTCTGTGGATTTGTGTCCGCTTCCTGTGGTGTGATCTGTCCGCTGTTTCAGCAGCTAATTGGCCTCACACCCTCCTTTGTACTCAGAAGGCTTGAATCAACCTTGAATCGACCTTGAATTTTACTCTCAGGCTGAGATGCCATTATCTGCTCCTATCCCATCTGCTCTGGGCTTAGAAGATAAACTAGTTATCACTGTGTATAAACCAAGTGTCACTATATCTAGAGAGACGGCTAAGAAAGTCTTTTCTCAGAGGTTTCCATTTCTACTCCATTTCCTCTGTTTTTAACAAACATTTCTCGAGTGGTTACATTGTGCTGGGGACTGGGGGATAGAGGAAGAAACCAGACACAGACTTAGCTTTTCAGGGGACACGGTTATCTGTGATAAAGTATGTACA